GATGAAGGAGATTAGCCTTCTCTGACTCTCGCAGTTGTATGGGGTTAAGAATCTTGTCAGGTTGACTGCTGTCTTTTCCTGCCCACGCATGTGCCCTATGATGGAAAATTCATTAACTTTTGGGGATCTTCGACTCGTATTATTTCACTGGAGTTCCACCCGTTTCACCCGTGAAGTGGCGTAATACTCCATGTGAAAAACGCGAAATATGCGATATGAAATGAATTGAAAGCACTAGGTGAATTACACCGGACAAATCGGCCCATATCACGTGGATCACATCACGTGTTTTACACGTCATTCACTGCTCGCATGCGTTTTACGCGAAGTGTAGTGTGAAAAATGTTTTTGCCAGTGTTTTTCATTTCATGGGTGAAACTCCACCAATTCATCTCCCGCATGAACCGTGACTGTTGTCTTGAAACTGCTTTCAGGTCGACTCCAGTACCGCTACGACCAGTGAGGGAAGATATGTTAGGTTTCCTCAACTGAGCTCGCGAGTTTTCTCACTACATTAAGAGATTCCGCACACGATTTTTGGTACGGGTGTACGAAAAACAACAATTTTCCCCAAAAATTTCCTCAGAATCTCCATATTTTTATCAACATATATAGTTGACCATGTGTATATATTCCCACACTGGCTACGACATCTCCCATTATCAAGAGCCAAGTCAGATGCATGTTGCCAACTTTCCATGTCAACATTTAATTCAACTTTTCGTATTGACAAGTGGATGAGACTTGAGTAGGATGCTCGTGGAATTTGGGTTCAGAGTTTGAGTCACGATGAACTCTGCCGTCGAGTCGCCGCCCGCCTCATCAAGGAATGTGGCGCCACAAGGCTCAGATCAACAATACTCGTTCAATGTTACCGGACCGCCGCCGCCGCCAGGACGAGGGCTTGATTGGAACGACTTGAACTATCCGAAGGGAGCTAAGCTCTTCCACTACAGGCCACAGGATGATCTACCGATCAACGTCGCCCACAGATGCAACTTACTGCATGCGAATTACCTCGTGGCTGTGGCGGTTCTTCTTGTGAACATTGTCAACACCATCATCACCATACTAGCATACAAGGCTCCCTGGATCAACCTGCTGTACACTTTCCTAAATTTCATCATCTTTGCTTCCGCAGCATTCACCGTCTTTTACCTCGGATACTTGGGCATGGCGATGCGCTCTAAGAAGCACCTACTGTACTACAAGATTGCCGCGGGCGTTATGATCATCATTGGCCTCTACTTCATGCTAGCCGGAGGAGGTGCCATCAACGGCTTCTTGAAGGATCTCACTTACCACGTTAGAGGCTATTGGTGGTTCGCTGTCATTCTGGAGAGTTTGATGTGGTTCGCCTACGTGGCGCTGTCGTGCTACAATCTCTACCTTATGATTAGATTCTGCCCAGTTAGGTTCGACGATCTGGGAGTAAATCCATGATGGAGTTCATCTCTGTTTTCTCACCAAGTATTACGAGCTTCGTCTCAACTTATGCCAGTCGAGTTTTTGCGTTTAGTGATTTCTATTAAACGCAGTTCTTGTAAGCTCGATAGTAACAGGGTCACTGGCTCATGCCCTCGAAGGAATTACTGTTGTGGGCAAAGCTACTGCAGCGGTCAACGCCATTTTGGTCACCACAAGGAACCCACTTATGGAGGTATCAGCCGCCGTGCAAATGTTCATCGCAAGATGCACCGTTTTAGAGTTATTATCAGTACGAACATCTGGGTGTGGTATTACGTCTGTCTTAAATGGATACGAATAGGCTTCAAGGTGAGCCTATTGAGGGTATTCTGCCAGTGGTATGCAGGAGTCGTTGATAACTGTCAAAAGCATTGGATTTCGTGAATTCTTCAGTTGGTGTGGTACAAGGTGAGAGGCCGGCATCTTCGGCCTGAGGAGCGTATAGTACTGTTTGATCATCCTCCGGAAAAGGTAGCTGAGTTTGGCTGTGTGTCTCGTATTCGGTCAGTCTTCCCACAGTTTGATATCGAGTGGAGCAGAAGTTCGAAACTCATAGCGAGCTACTTACGGGTTCGAGAAGCAATCCAAGAGGCATGATCTATAACATCTCCTCGAGAGCATCGCGGTCATCAGGCACACGACCCTATACTGGCTCGCGCTGCCTTCCCTGGGCTGAGGACAAAGAAGGTGCCACCTACGGAGGACACACCCGAGATGCTCTGGGTACTTTACTTGGAGGATGTGAAGCACTGACTGATCTTGAACCTGGTTTCTGTGTAATCTTCGAATGATGATATAGTGTAGGTTCTGTTGAGGGAGCGGTATGAAATGCCGGTAAGGCAGTATGTTGTACTCTATTATATGCATGGTGGATTCTTGTGCTTCTACGACGGGGTATCAACGCATCGTCTATTCGTCGCTAGGATGGTTGACGTCTTGCAAAAGAGGCTTAGGGAAGATGGCATGGACGGGGTTAAAGTGGTCGCGTTAATTGTCAATTATACATTGGCACCGAAGGCTGTGCTACCGACACAGCTGCAGGAGGTTGTTCAGGGCTACAAGTACATACTCACGCAAGACAGATACCCGGTTGAAGCTAGTCATGTGGTTGTATCGGGTGACTCTTCGGGAGGCACACTCTCCTTGAGCTTACTCAAATGTCTGGTATGCAACTATTTCGCCGTCGATTTGCCGCGCCCGGGTTGCTGTGTTGCGATGTCGCCCGTGGTGGACATGCGAGGAAGGCTTGGCCGGCGGTCGCTGGATGTGGGCAGGGATGTGGTGCTGAACTCTGCTGGATGGTATGCGGGCAGCTGTGCTCTTTATGGGAGGCCATCAAGACCTCGAGAGAGGATGAACCTTCAAGACAGGCCTGCCGAGGATGATGAACATCTTCGTAGG